CAATATTATAAGAATAAGATGAATTCATTTTAGCTATTTACAACTTAGAAACGATTTTAGTGATCCTGTGTCTGACTCCAGTTATATTGTATGATGATTTGTTAACGAAATGTGGATACCGTCAACCCTCGTATCTGATTCCAAACCGTTGCTTCAAGTCACTAACTTCTAGTCTAAGCCATATTGATAAATACAGACTACTTGGTTGGGGTCCGCGTGACTATCGTAACCAATGGTTGGAGACTCCGTGTGACATGGCTCATAATCGATCACAATGACACAGGTGTATACACTCTTTATCTTCCCTTAAACCTTGAGATTAAAATTCCCTCATATCTGTCTTCATTCCTCTACTATATCGTTATATACAGCTTTTCTTTTATATATTACCACCACTAAATTAACTACTTCTATGAATCCGGTGTTCATCTTGTTGTGCTAACGAGGTACGGCAACTTGGACCGATGCATAAATGTGCCTGGTCCTAAGTTGTAGCTGGCTGACTGACTGACGTATATGATTAACGGCTTAAATCGCGTTAGTGAATAACGGAATTAAATATGTCAAATACGAGAATGGATTTTGAATTCGTATATTTCATATAATCGTGGATTTGGACAGACAATCAGGGAAACGAAGCGGAGAAAGCAAGTTAACTCAATTTAATCAAGTGTAACTCGATATTTAAAGTTAAACAAAAAAATATGTTACAGACACATAATGAGTAGGATAAGTAATCAACGCAAACGACCATGTAAAAAACATTTAGGATTAATAAGCGAATAAGTGACAGTCAAAATGTATCTTGAGAAGAATGAATAAATTGGTGTGTTCAGAAGCTAGAATAACCTCTGTGGGCTTAAGATAGCTGCCAGCCGCTACACAATAACATCAATCTGAATCACGAAGTAAATTAAACAACTATTAATAAATTTCGATAATGCAATGAGAAGACGAACTTTATCAGAATTATGTAATATATTTGCTCAATACATTTCGAACAATCTGATCATAAATCTACTTCTTAAGACATTTTATATGAAAATAAGACTACAGGATAGACAAACATCCTCCTCTGTTGCGAAACATTTAGTTGAAACTGGTCATAAGATTGACATCAAATCAGCGTTTGTAGTGTTGTACAAAAGCCTTCAAGGATGTATACTAAGGTTTATTAAAGCCTTGGCTATATGGAGATTGAAACCTCCTTTATGTGTTCAAAAACAATTTGTTCCTACACTTAACCTACCCTGGTAATGCTAATTTATTATCCAAAGTGTTCATTACATTGTTTTTTTGTACTTTATTTATTTTCTTACCTTAACCTGTCTAGTTGACCTTTTAATTTTCATATATAAATGTTCTTAACAAGTATATGTGTGATCTTGATGTTGGTTTGTTCTCTGAGCTGGGTGGTTTGGTCGTGGAGCTTTCATCGTCCTTCTGAACGACATCATCAGCACAAACTTCGGGTAGAAGTGAAGTGTTTGAATTTCTCCACATGTGATTCACAGCTTGTCCTCTGCACCTCGATGTTGATTGGTTCTTATTGACCTTAAATCTGTCATTGTTTTGGTTGTATCTCCTATTGGTTTGATTTTTGTTCCTATCTTCTTGCATAATTTTCTTGATTGGTTGATAGATTGGATTGATTTCAATATGTTTGTTTCCGATATGCCCTTTATGTGTGATCAGTTTGTTCGAAATGTATTAAGTAAATATATCACATAATTCTGATAAATTTCGTCTCTTCATTGCATTGTCGAAATTTATGAAAGGGACTAATTGTTTTAAACTATTAATAATCCCAAAGTACTGGATAGCTGTTTCGTTTTACTGTGAGATTATTCAATACTGTGTATTAATGAGCAATCCACAGTGGATCAAAGCCAGGATATTCAAGTTCGCTTCAATAATAATAAATAATCCTCACGACTCTCAAAATGATAATGGTACTAATGATTATAGTGTGGATTAAATTTTTAGGTTGACATGTTAGTGCAGGTTAAAAAAGAAAAACAGTCACAGAAGAATTAAAAATTTAGTGGAAATACTATTGTCACTAAACAAATGACGACAGTACAGAAAATATCATTTGCTTAAGTTGAAAAGACATAATTGCAGTTAATTTTACAGATGGTAGTCTACAATAAAATAGGAAACGTTGCGTAATTTAACAAAATTATCAAATACTAAAGGTAGATTACATAACAGTCTTAGAAATAAATAGTAATAATTTATTGGAGATTACGATAATTGTTTACTTTAAGAATACAGAAGATAAAGCACAGAGTAATAATTGACACTAATAAATAGATCTTTGTATACAAAAGAGTCATATTCATTCGCTTATTACACCATGACAACAGTCATTATTACTATTCACTATCTTATTCCTCATCTTCTATACTCACTTACGCCTGTTACCCCTTGTGGAGGAGCATAGGCCGCTCACCAGCATTCTCCATCCAACTCTGTCCTGAGCCTTCCTTTCCAGTTACTATTCAGCCTTTTCATATCTGCTTCTATTTCCTAAAGTAATGTGTTCTTTGGCCTTCCTGTTTTCCGCTTCCCTTCACCATACCAAGTTAGGGATTGCCTTGTAATGCACATTGGTGATTTCCTTAATGTATGTCCGATCCACTCCCAACGTCTTTTCTTAATTTACTCTTCAGCAGGAAGCTGGTTTGTACTCTCCCATAAAACGGTGTTGCTGACAGTATCCGGCCAGTGGATGTTGAGTATTTTGCGTAGACAATTGTTTATAAATACTTGTACCTTCCTGATGATGGCCGTAGTAGTTCTCCACGTTTCAGCTCCATACAGTAGAACTGTCTTGACGTTCGTATTAAAGATTCTGACCTTGAAATTGGTTGAGAGTTGTTTCGAGTTCCATATGTTCTTCAATTGTAGAAATGCTGCCCTTGCTTTGCCAATCCTCACCTTTACATCTGCATCCGATCCTCCTTGTTTATCGACGATGCTCCCCAGGTACTTGAATGTTTTCACCTCTTCCAGAGTTTCGCCATCAAGTGTGATTGGGTTGGTGTTCTATACTCACAGAGTAGATAAATTATCTTTTGCGTTTTCCTAGAAAATAACTATAACAGTAAGCAAAGAGATAGTGGCTAGAAGTGGAATCCAGGATGCGCGTTTCGTCCTAATTTGGACTCGTCAACTGGATGTACCTGCATCTCAGAGTTGATGTTCACTCTGGGACTCGAACCCAGTACCTTTCGCTTCAAACACCATCGCCTTATCCACCCAGTTACTGAGTCCTGTTAGCCACTTGCTTGTGCAATGGGAGAGACTGACCAGTTGCAGTCCTTCACATCAATGGGAAGATTCACACAAACAATACTACGTGAATTTATCTATAACAGTGTTAACACTGTTAAATTGAGACTTGATGATCTTAGGATTAAGCGTTCGCACTAAAGACCAAACGTTCTGGGTTCGGTTTCAATGAAATTCAACAATCTCCATAAATTCTTACTAATTACATTTAAGAAATTTTGGTGAATTTTCAGAATGATGCAACATATCTTTTTTTTATTAGTGGTTTATTGGGTTTTATCAATGACATCATTGAATTGCAGAACTTCCATTGTCATTCTAGAAAACAACAGCATCTATTTGTATATGCACTTCTACAAATAAATTATCTAGCTCGAAAGACACAACACTATCAATAACATACATCAGAGCTGTAAATATTCTTCATCATTTCTAAATTAACTACAAGTACAACTCTGCAGATCAGAGTGAACATCAACTCTAAGATGCAGGTACAATTAGCTTACGAGTCCCAAATAGGACGAAACGCGCGTCCTGGATTCCACTGCTAGCCACTATCCATCTTTGCTTACAATTAAAAAATTTGCCTTAATGCTCGTTTATTTGTGAGTTCACACGAATATTCCAGAGAAACAACACTGAAAAGAGGATGGAAACAGAATTTAAAAAATGGAAGTATAGTGTCACAGGTTGTATATTTAAAAACCTGACTAGTTGAGCAAAACTCAAATAAGAACTAAGTAATAAGAGATCATAGTATAAACTGTGGCAAAAAAATGTTACGTAGTGAGTTCTTAAAGTTATTTATTTATTTGAAAACATAAATATTGGTACAAGCGGACACCAGATATGTATGCGCCATACGAAAAATTGTCATTTCATTTAATTGTGTGAGGGCTAGGATACTGCCCAGACCAAAACAGATGGTTTTCTTAGGGGCCACACCCGGAGCCTTTGACTTGAAGGTCTAATCCACAAGGCAGTAGAGCATCATGAGGAGATGCAGTCCCATGATAGTCGGTGACAAACGATTGGTTCATACGCCATTTTTACCCTCAGGATCCTGGAGCCTATGTGCACCATTGGTTTGCAATCAGGGTTTTCCAACTCACCTAGATGGATCATGCATATATACCAACCGGATTAAAGTGTCGGATATTTGCTTTTCGTCCTCTCAATTTCGTAAAGAGCAACCCCGCCACGAGAAAGCAGTGAGCAGGACTTCCCTGGCAGAGTCTGTATACGCGTGGTCATGTAAGAACATTTCGAAAGAGAGGGCGGGCACTCTCCCACTCTCGGTCGTACCAGGGCACAGATTGATACGACTTTCTAGACGCATAAATTCGATTGATATCTTTTAATAGCAAATGCTTCAGTTATGCACAGATGATTTTGTTTAATAAGACAATGAAAGATTCAAGAATAAACCACTCAGTTAAGAAAAGATAATTCATTCCATACGAAACTTGACGCTAGTATGTGTGTGAGGGGTAACATACCGATGAACGTTTACGAATAAAACCCACCTTATTTGTATCATACTCAAATAATTTGGTTTATCATAGCGGTCAATTGAAGCTAGACCATCATCGAAATTTAGAGGCACTGGACGACCGTTTCGTCCTATTATGAGACGATATAAATTAAGTAGTATATCACAGTTTTTAATTACACTACTCATCAGTCATATGAGCATGAGAAATACTGTATCACATCTTTTTTTATTTATTGACATATGGACAATATTAATAATAATAATGATTATAAAACACATATATACTCCCTTGTCTCTTATCAAATGCCAGTTTTATAAATAAATAGTATAGTGTTACCATGAAAAGAAAAATAATAATAACAAAATAGTACATAAATGTTGTTTGACATGAATATCAGCGGATAAATTTTACACAGAAACACACACTTTTTCCACAACTTAAACAGATAAATAATAACAAAATAGTAAACATACATTTTTTGGATAATAGAGGATGAAAAAAAAATAAGTAAAACCAAACAAACATCGTTTTGAGGTCAGTTGTAAAACGCTGGGTAGTTGAGGGGGAGGGGTTGGTGGTAATAATGGCAACCCCATTAATATTACTACTAATAAGAATGATAAATGTAATATGATGTGTGAAGTAATATCGGTTGATAAAATGAGCGTGTATAGGGTTCGTATATTGGGAGGGGGGAATCATATGCTTATTGTTAATAATAAGTAATAGTGAACATAGTGTTACTATCATTACCAATAAACAACAGATATGTTGAGATTGAAAACAGAATTGCTTTAAGCAATCAATAAAAATAATAGATATGGAAATATTCAAACAAAAACCTGCATTTGTTCTTCATAAAGACAGAATAAGAAGAAGAACAGTAAGAAAGGAAATATGATTCATCAGCTTTATTGACCCTTTTCTTTAACTCTATTAGTAACGAGTAAATTTGTGAATAATAAATGACAAATATTAATTTTTTAAAAAATTTTATTTTTAAAAAATAAAATGTCATATTTAATCAGTAGTATATTCTTATATTTCCCCTGGTTTACTACATAATAAAGGAAGACCAATAATTAAAGCCAATGGTCCAATATGTCCAATAAAGCGCATTTGTCTAAAGAGAGAAGAAAATAGTAGTAGTGTAGTGTATATTCTACAATGATTGATATCTAATTAATGTATTAACATAGAATAGAATCAACTTTGTATTACGAAAATTGTTTGATTTAACGAAGGTTAAAGATTAGAATGAGGAAATAAATCAAGTGACTGACTACAGATTAAACAAATCATTTATATTAAAATGAAATTCGAATAAATATACAATCTCAGTATGAGGATTTGATTAGATTGTAATATTTTCATAGTTGAATTCACGGGTCAATCTACGCTAGACCACCATTGAGAACCTCAAAGTACTGCACGGCTGTTTTGTTCTAGAGATCTAGAAGTTTGTGTGCGAGACTGAACGTCCTGGGTTCGAGTTCCGCATGCAGGATCGTGGATGTGCACCTCTGAGGAGTCCCGTTCTAAGACGAAACGGCCATCCAATGTTTTCATTGGTGGGTTAGCTAAGATCAACTCGTGAGTCCAACTATGAGAAAACATACAATGTATTGAAGCCACATTGTTAAAGATCGATCATAATTGGAAATATTGAAGAATTGTATATCGTAGATGTAAAGTCTTTAATTTAAAAATACAAAGGTTTGAAATCATTTTTACTTACTGTTCAGCATGAACAACCAATCGGTTGTATGCAATGATTCTTATTACACTCTTATACAATGTTTACTTGACTGATAGGTAACTGTGTAAATTCTAATTCTATTAAGTATTTTATAATCTTGTATATAAGTATATTTCCCAATATTTAGTATTGCCGGTTCTATTGTAATTATTCTCATAGATGTAACTACTCACTTGGTGTAACGAACATTTTTTATACGCAGATGCGGTGTTTTTAATGGGTATAGATATTTACCCATTGTTATTAAAATACATATATATTGAACATTTGAACTTCATTTGCTAACACAGCTCCCACTCCACTTTAAATTTTTTCAGTCACACACCAGGTCGGGGTCACGTATAGGAAGTGAAGAAGGAGATTGATTATGAATACAGTGGTCTTGAGTGCTGTTAGAGGTATGAGGGCAGTTATCACTTCCCGGTTGCCCACACCGTGGAAGGGTATTTCTTGAGGGACCTGAAAAGGAAATTGGGTTAGAAGTGGTCTTAATGATCTGAGAGCGTGACCGCAGTGCCCAAGGCACAACTGCTTGAGGTCGGTCACACACGACCTTTTTGTGGGTAGTTTTTGTGTTAGCTCCGTTCTTCAAAAAAAACCTTACCGCCGGAGACGGAAATCCGTGGGATAAGGCGAGGTGTGCATTTTTAGGATCGACCTTTTCTAACTCCACCCCTCCTTGTGAGAAGGCAGCATCGCTATCATGCTGGTTGTCTGAAGGAAACACCTTACTGCCGTCACAACTCTGTACAGTCAGCAGTACGACTTCGCCTTCGGACCATGGGTTTGCTGCTTTTAGTCTCACCGCTTTTCAACCGACCTGCCTGGCATGGTAGGACCTTGAGGAACGATTGTTCCAGCCAGTATAGCTCGATTGGTTCATCACGATAGGCAAGCCCGACCACTACATCAAGGTAGCAGCAACGGTTGGGGGGGTACATAGAAATGGGTACATCTAGTCGCCGAACCAAATAAAAATCCCCATTGAGCTAAAAAATAAATCCTCAACATTTCAAGATGGAACGAATTAATACATAAGCCGTATATAACAATACGTGATAAAATTACATATATATAAAATTTAACTAACCTCCAAAAATGCAATACTTTATCAGTAGTCAAAAGAAGAAACGATACACCCAAATAATTTAAGCATAACATAGCGCTTATATTAGTTAGTACATTATAGAAACAATGTAATCCGGATGAACGAAGAAAATACGGTCGAAGATATTTTCGACAAACTCTAGATAAATATTATTTTGAAGAAAACAAAAAAAATTTTTTATCTGATGGTTAATTTATGAAATAATTTGATAGTTAGAAAAGTTTGTAATATCACTTTTTCAGTTAGTCGGTTGCATACAATTTTACCTGAATATTCTAAATTAGTCAACAAGTGAACATTCTAGTTGATCAACCACCGAAAAGTCAGAGAATAAAAGTTATTTCTAAAAGCATGTCTACCAGAAACTTAAATAAACATGGAGAAAGGGGGCAAGCCTGATGAACAACACCTCAAGTTATCCATTTTAATGATAGTAATATTACCAACAGTAAGTTATCTATGAATATAAGCTTTCGCTTATTTAGGCAACATATTTAAAAAAAGGTAATTAGTAGTATAGCGTTATTTTGAAAAAAAAGTCACTGTACAACTGATACAACAGACCTACTTACCTAACGCGATATAAACAAGTTTATATTTCATTGAAAGTTTATATTTCATTCATATAGTGTTATATTCAATAAGTGGTAACCTTGTAAATGTCGTTATGAAATGACATGCATTTCTTTGATCTAGTACATCACATTGATATAAATTCTGGATAAAACATACTGTTAGAGAGGTAAAGTCCTGACCACCGTACCCTCTGATCAGGCTTAAACTGGAATGAAATGATCGCTTCATTTTCAATTAGTCAGGGCCACCACATGCCCTGATGCGGTCGAAGGTGGAGAGAGTCAGCTCTCCCTCTCGAAATAATCTCATATGGCCTCACGTATGCAGCCACTGCCAGGGAAGACCTACTCACTGTCTTCTTGTGTCGGAGGTGTTGTATACAAAGTTGAGAGGACGAAAAGCGAATGTCCGGAGCTTTGATCGGATTGGTGGATATGGAAGATCCATCTAGGTGAGTTGGAAAACCCTGATTCCAAACCAATGTTGCCACATGGGCTCCATGAACCTAAGGGTACAAATGGCGTACTAACCGATTGTTTGTCACTGGCTACCATGGGACTGCATCTCCTCACGATGCTTCACTGCCTTGTGGGTTAGACCTTCAAGTCGAAGGCTCGGGGTGTGGCCCCCTAAAAATCCACGAGCTATGGTATGGGCGTCCGGGAAGTATCCTATCCTTCACACATATGTATCCCGCTTTCACTACGAGTGACGCTAGTTGGCAAGAAACCAACCGAGTCTACTGAGTCCGCGTTGAGATTTAGTCAGATACCAGACCGACAGGACTGATGAGACTCCAAAGGTTAGTGAAGCGGTCATTGCATCCAACTACTTCACTTCCTATCACCAATTCAGGCGATAATACAAACCAATAAGGAAGTAATATTTCACATTCAAAGGAAAAGAACCGCATTCAAATCATGCTTGCATTATTGCCCAAGGTGGTTAGAAAACCTTCACCAAACACAACTATATTATTTGCTTATTCTGAGTCAAACAGTTAATCTCATTGTCGAAGGTCAACCCCTGAAAAGTCAAACGATGGAAGTGTTATTTTCTAAAGTGTGTCAGTTACAAAGTTAAATAAAGATGGGGAAAGAAGACAAACTTGACAAACACTACTTGAGATAACCAGTTACAATAACAGTTCGCCATTAAGCTTTGACTCAACAAATAATGTTCGAGTAGAGAGCCAGTAGAAGGTTAATGTACTTCTTTGGTACGCCTTTCAATGATAGACACTGTCACAGAACCTCATGATCAACAGAGTCGAAAGCCACCTTTAGGTTAAGGCATACAACCATGGCAAGACTTTGAAAAGTATATCTGTGTTTCAGAATCTTCTGAAGAGTGAATATTTGACCTACATACATAGACCTCCAGGCCGGAAAACAGTCGGGATTTCTCGTGTTTGCTCTTCACAAACTCTCGTTAAACATCGAAGTATTACCAAGGTTAACATTTTACACACTATTAGCCTCTGATTGTCATAAGGGGATTCTTGTCCTTTCTTATAAACTGAGACGATTAACGATTAAGACCAGTCAGATGAAAGTATGTACAGTTCTTAAATTTTGGCAAAATTTCAGTCAATCTAACTACTAAAACTAGGTCTCCATCTTTAAAAATTTAAAGGGTTAATCCATTAGATTCTGTTACTCTATCATACTTGAGATTGCTTATACTTATTTTAATCTCACTGAGTTGAAGAATTTACATCATAGAATTCAAACAAACACACATTCCATTAACAATATAGAAATACAGATAGTTTTTATTTACAAAAATTATACCATACAAAATGAGTATTTTTCTAATATATTTATATCAATGAACTTATATCGATAAAATAAGCACATGTTAATAGTAACGTGGAAAATAGGTCTTATATAAATTCATATAATATCTTTAAATGGGATCGTATATATAACTAAGAGAGAGAGAGAGAGAGAGTAGAAGTTCATTAAAATATTACTAATTCTTTTAAATTATGATATTCACTATGATTATTATTAGCGCTGGTATAATCGGCTGTCGATATATCAAAGATAATTTAAACTTAAACAGAAAATAAGCAAAGATAAATAGTAGCTCTAAGTGGAATCCAGGACGCAAGTTTCGTCTTATCTGGGACTCGTCAGTTGGATGTACCTGCATCTTAGAGTTGATGTTTACTCAGGAACTAGAACCCAGTACCATTCGCTTCAAATATTAACGCGTTATACACTCAGCTACTGAGTTCTGATAGCCACTTGCTTGTGCAATCGGGTGAAGTTTAAATTCACTTGGTATTGTTTGTTCGAATCTTCTTATTGATGTTTAGGACTGAAATTAAAGAAACGCGCGTTCGGGATTCCACTGCTAGCCACTATCCATCTTTGTTTATAATGCTTGTGGATTAAGGCTATATCGAAATAATACGCAAAGTATGCACATATGCCAATAAGAGATTGATCAATTGCAATCCTAAATATCAATGGGAAGATTTAAACAAACAATATCAAGTGAATTTAAACAGAAAACAATTTCCTTTACAGGTCATCATTATCACGTGATGCTTATTCTTTCTCATTCTTTACTTAATCAATGACCTTATAAGAAAAATCACTCGATAAAAAAAGAGAATAACCATTAGAAAATGAAGAATAAATAAAAGAAGAAACAATTAGATAAAACTTTAAGCAAACGTGAACAGCTTGTAGGTTGAATCTGTCACAGATTGATTTCGATTGTAAGGTACCATTGAAAATCATAGAAAATTAGATAGCTATTTCATCCTAGTGAAGCTTCTTCGAAGCGTACATCGATGATTCGGTAGCGGACCAAACTCAGAACCTTAAGATTCTTATGACGAACATGTAATCAATGAAACCAATGGATCAGCGTCTAATTGTAACTTCAACAGATTTGCGGATATAGTTCACCAATCATTCTGTGTCATTGATAGCAACTGTTTCACATCCAACTTAAACATCATGACTTTCTATTACAACTGTTATAATTTCTTTTATTACATCCCAGCTATTCGTATTGCTTAGTATTGTTAGACACTAATTCACTCTACAAGTCCTCAAATCAGAACACAGTTGAACAGGAACGAAATTATTTTCCAAATAACAAAAGTAGATGGAAGTAAGAAGCACATTAAGTGAATAAAGTTGGAAATGTGTAACATTGGATTTTAATTTGGCAGTTCAGATGTTAAGCGCCAACAGCTAGACCTGAAAGTTGAGAGGTTGGATTATGGATGTCAATCAAGATTTTCCAACACATCACAAAACATTTCTGAAAACTGGTTACAGTTATTGTGCAGGCCCAAATCAGAGAGTGTACAACTATTCACATTAGCAGTAGATAAATTCAGTGACTGATGCCATTTCGTCAACTGTTTGTTACTAATCTGTTTTAAATCTATTATAATACCAGCCACAATTGTAAGTCCGGTTAGGCTGTGATCAGGTAGGCTCATATGATTTTGAAATGATAGATATTTGTAGCTTGCTTCTACCTAAATTTCTTCTTATGTTTTTCGAAAGAACAACGGAAGCTTCACGACTAAACCACTGAGCTCAGAGAACGAAACTCTACCAAAATTCAGTCAGATACACGCAAAATATGTTGTAACAATCTCAGTCGACGAAGGTTTATAGTCTCACTTAAAGTTCAAAGTAAGAACAATCAATATTTTCTAAATACTAAACTGTTCTTTCTTGATGAAATTGCCCACCATTGCTACTGGCATGATTTTTGCTTACGGCTACAAAAGAACTGCTTTTTACTACCTAGTACACGAAACTAATAACGAGTTCCACAGAAGTAGGGACAAATAAAGTTAGTGTGAAACACCATAACACAGAATGTGTCCAACATTAAAATTTAACAAAAACAGTCAAAAGAAATGTGTTTACGGTTATTTTTATACAGAAATCTACCACAATTTCATCCATTTTATCGAAAACTAGATACAACATACTTCTATCAATAATTAACTACTATCCTAATTCAACATCCCAATGAAGGTGTAGAGGCAGGAAACAAAAAAATTGTAAAAAGGTACACATATCAAAATGGTCATTCTCCATCCAAATTTTGTCAAGGATAAACATTAGCCGAAGAACTAACACAAATCAAAAACTAAACACCTATGTAATCCTAGTCTGGAATTTGTTAACAATATTCAACCATGACTTTAAGATTTTTAGGTATCATTACCAAGTTTTGATTTGATAATTACGAATAAATTGAGCATCGGGTAGATTGTTATAAATAAATATTTGTAATATCCCAAATAAGTAGAAAAATTAGATTTTCTGACGTTTTGTAACTCAGTGTAAGCTACTTCTTCAGAGAATAACTAACCAAATAAAAATTAATCCAAGTTTAAACAGTACAACGGAACAACACGAATACTATGTGATCAATCAAAAAACAGGTCACAAAACGTCAGAAAATCTAATTTTTATACTTATTGGGATATTACAAATATATTATTAATTTATTCATAAGAGGAATTTAGCCAAGAACCTTCAAATCACATGTTAAGCACATCCTAAGAATCACAGAAAAAAAAAAAGATGGTCTCACAAAATGTTTCTACAAAGTTTACTCAGTACATTCTTTGAAAAAGTCGAAATATTTACAAGTGTGAGGTCTGCCAGGGATTTATTGAGTAAATAATAGACATAAGGTGGATAATATTGAGTGTATTCAACATAATACACATAAAACGTTTCCTTGAAAAAACTATAATTATCCAACGTTTCTAACATGACCTAAAAATATCCAGAAGGAAAGCTCTGTTGTGAATAAATGTACTAGCCCCTAAATGCCCTGGTATGGCCGAGAGTGGGGAGAGTTCGCTCTCCCTCTCCAAATGCTCTCACATGGCCACACGTATTATAACCTCTGACAGGGAAGTCCTACTCACTGCCTTCTCGTGGCCACGGTGTTGTTCACGAAAGTGAGAGGACGAAAAGCGAATGTCCGGCACTTTAACCGGATTGGTGGATGCGGAGTGTCCACCTAGGGGAGTTGGAAAACCCTGATTCCAAACCAATGGTGCACATGGGCTCCAGTATCCTGAGGGAACAAATGGCGTATGAATCAATCGTTGGTCACCGGCTATCATGGGACTGAATCTCCTCACGATACTCTACTGCCTTGTGGATTAAACCTCTAAGTCAAAGACTCGGGGTGTGGTCCCCTAAGAAAACCACCTGCTTCAATTTGGGCACCTGGGCAGTATCCCAGCCCTTACACGAATCAAATGAGATTTGTGTGGCGCATATGTATATGGTTCCTTTTAGTACCAATATTTATATGTTTAAATAAAAAAATAAAAGAATAAATGTACTAGAAGAATGAATTTTAATACATAAAATCAATGATTTTACTTTCATAGTTGGAAGCGTGAGTCAATTGAAGACCACCAAGGAGAAGTAGTGACCAGTGGAGTTCAAACCACGTTTGTTGTGAGATATCAACTTACTGAAGACAATTGGTGAACGGTCGCTCAACTACGTGGATTGGTTGGAGTTAGACATAAACACCATCGGATGCCGGCTAAGTGGTCTATCGGTTAAGTGCCCTGGCGCGAGACTTTTAGGTCCTGGGTTCGAATCTCTTGAGACGAGGTCGTGAATGCGCACTGCTGAGGTGTCCCACAATACGACGAAACGGCCGTCTAGTGCTTCCACGTTTTCCTTGGTGGTTTAGCTTCAATTGACTCACGTTCGCAAATATGAAAATACGAAATCTCCACAAAACCTCTTCTGATAATGATCTTACTGTTCTATGATGTAATCATTCATTCTGTTATTATTAACAGTATTATTTACTTTTAAAACAGACATTTCTCAGTGTTAACTTCTCAACACACACAAATTATGCATTCACTTCAACAATATTAGGTAAAATATTTACACTCATATTAAAACCTCATAAAATTAAAGTATGTCACTCTAGTCGATGATGAATTGAGCTTATTCTCAATGTATCACATGTTATTCTCGTCAACTGAGATCAGGAAAAAAATAAAAAGGATATATACAGAATGAACAAGATAAACACACGCATTGTTTCGATACTTGATAAGTATATTTTCAAGTACAGTCTTATAATTGGAAAAACAAAGTTTCAAAACATTAGCTACCTTTTTCAAGCACTAACATTTTTTTATTGAAGTGGTAGGTTATAACTAAAACTCCGCCTGTAGCTCCTCTGGGGTTTACTGCCGGTCCCAAGCCCGGGTAAAGGAGGAGGGTCGGGCATGGGGTTAGCGACCCCATCCCGTAGAAAATCAACTCGCTAAAAAAACGCTAACCAGAAAAAATCATTCAAACCTTTCAAACTCTGCCCTGGGAGTAGAAGGAATAGTTATCACGTCTCATGATGAAAGCCGAGTTCCTTCGGAAGTCATGAGGCCGATGCACCTTCTTACAACCAGAGCGACAATTTTTATAGGTACATGGAATGTCCGAACAATGTGGGAGACCGGCAGAGTCTTCCAAATTTCTGCGGAAATGAGGAAATACAACCTGGAAGTGCTTGGAATCAGTGAAACACATTGGACGCAGGTTGGACAACAACGACTGTCTTCAGGAGAACTTCTGTTATACTCCGGTCATGAAGAAGAAAATGCCCCACATACACAAGGAGTGGCACTGATGCTGTCTAGAAAAGCACAAAATGCACTTATTGGATGGGAATCTCATGGACCGAGGATCATCAAAGCCTCCTTCAGAACAAAGAGAGAGGGCATTACAATGAACGTCATCCAATGCTATGCGCCGACCAACGACTACGATGAAAACGCTAAAAACCAATTCCACGATAGGCTGCAGTCGATCGTCGAGAAGTGCCCAACCAAGGACCTGACCATTCTGATGGGAGATCTCAATGCCAAGGTTGGAAAGGACAACACTGGATACGAAGACGTCATGGGACAACATGGACTGGGAGAAAGGAACGAAAATGGTGAGAGATTTGCAAACCTATGTGCCTTCAATAAACTGGTCATAGGTGGCACCATACTCCCACACAAAAACATACACAAAGCCACTTGGATTTCACCGAATCACACTACACAGAATCAAATCGACCATATCTGCATCAACAAAAAGTTCAGGAGGACGATGGAGGATGTGAGAACCAGGAGAGGAGCTGATATAGCATCCGATCATCATTTGCTGGTCGCCAAGATGAAACTAAAACTCAAGAAGCAGTGGACAACGGCGCGGACAACATCACAAAAGTTTAATACGGCCTTTCTTCGAGATGCTGACAAACTCAACAAATTCAACATAGCCCTCAGCAACAGGTTCCAGGCCTTTCATAACCTACTCAATGAAGAGGGAACGACCATAGAGAGCAGCTGGAAAGGTATCAAGGAGGCAATCGTTTCAACATGTCAAGAGGTTCTGGGCCGAAAGAAGCACCATCAAAAGGAATGGATCACTGTTGGTACACTGGATAAGATTGAAGCAAGGAGGAACAAGAAAGCAGCAATCAATATCAGCCGAACAGAAGCGGAAAAAGCCAAGGCACAAGCCGAATACACAGAGGCAAACAAGCAAGTGAAGAGGAGCATTAGAACCGACAAACGTAAATATGTGGAAGATTTAGCGATGACAGCGGAAAAGGCTGCAAGAGAAGGAAACATGAGACAACTGTATGATACAACAAAGAAACTTGCTGGAAATTACCGTAAGCCAGAAGGACCAGTGAAATGCAAGGAAGGCAAAGTAATCAACGATATTGAAGAACAACGAAAAAGGTGGGTAGAACACTTCAAAGAACTCTTGAATCGACCAGCTCCACTGAACCCACCCAACATCGAAGCAGCACCCACGGACCTCCCAATCGATATTGGCCCACCAACAATTGAAGAGATCAGCATGGCAATTTGACAAATTAAGAGTGGTAAAGCAGCGGGACCAGACAACATCCCGGCAGAGGCACTGAAATCAAATGTAACAGCAACTGCCAAGATACTACGCATCCTCTTCGGTAAGATTTGGGATGAAGAACAAGTACCAACAGACTGGAAAAAAGGACTTCTGATCAAGATACCAAAGAAAGGCGATCTGAGCAAGTGCGACAACTACAGGGGCATCACTCTTCTCTCAATACCAGGAAAAGTCTTCAACCGAGTATTATTAAACAGGATGAAGGATTCCGTGGACGCTCAACTTCGAGATCAACAAGCTGGATTTCGTAAGGATAGATCGTGCACAGATCAAATCGCAACTCTACGTATGATAGTGGAACAATCAATCGAATGGAATTCATCACTCTACATCAACTTCATCGACTACGAGAAGGCATTTGATAGCGTGGACAGGACGACACTATGGAAGCTTCTTCGACACTACGGCATACCTGAGAAGATAGTCAATATCATACGGAACTCCTATGATGGACTAAACTGCCAAATCGTTCACGGAGGACAACTCACCGACTCGTTCGAGGTAAAGACCGGTGTTAGGCAAGGTTGCTTACTCTCACCCTTTCTCTTTCTCCTGGTCATCGACTGGATCATGAAGACGTCAACATCTGGAGGAATGCACGGGATACAGTGGACAGGCAGGATGCAACTTGACGATTTAGACTTCGCGGATGATCTGGCTCTTTTATCACACACGCAACAACAAATGCAGGAGAAAACGACCAGTGTAGCAGCAGCCTCAGCAGCAGTAGGTCTCAATATAAACAAAGGGAAAAGCAAGACTCTCCGATACAATACAATAAGTTACTGTGGGAGACAACAAACCAGATTCCAGCAGAGGAAGAAATCAGGAAGAAGCGCTGGAAGTGGATTGGGCACACCTTGCGGAAATCACCTAATTGTGTCACAAGACAAGCCCTCACATGGAATCCTGAAGGTCAAAGGAGAAGAGGAAGACCAAAGAACACATTACGCCGAGAAATAGAGACAGACATGAGAAGAATGAACAAGAACAGGATAGAACTAGAAAAGGAAGCCCAGGACAGAGTGGGTTGGAGAAAGCTGGTCGGCGGTCTATGCTCCATTGGGAGTAACAGGCGTAAGTAAGTAAGCAAGTAAGGTTATAGCTAATGTGAAATAGAAGAGAGTGAAAGAGGAAATTACTACATAGTGTATATAATGTATATTCAAACCAAAAGAGCAACTTTGAAGGGTGAGCATATTTACAAGTAGCTTTTTACACACAAAAAATGTCTGGTAAAACGTAAGGTTCAACTGATAGATAGAACAACTACGTGAGATGGAACAGATAACTGGACGACATGGAATCAATGTCGTGTAACCAGAAAACACTAGAGAGAGTATACTAATGAGTATCAAACTAGGGGAAACCAGCTTTGCAATTCTTAGAGCTTCACAATAAAAACGAGGTCAATATGACATTGAATCGAATATAATAAGTAAACTCTTAGTTCCAATTTCAAAAAAAAAACTCAAACTAACCTTCCTGCCACTGTGATTAGAGCTGCAGATACAAAAGCTAGATAATAACCTGGATAGAAACCATGCCACATAGCTGATGCAGCGAAAACTGCCCAAACAGCATAACGTTTTGGTACACGATCATATATACATTCACGTAACCAACGTGTTGTCGCTGTGTTCCAAGAATCTATGATTGCTTTTGTACTTGTACCAAGCTTAAGAAAATATAAATAATCTTCATGATACATAATCATTTCCTCATAATAAAATACATATATACCTTTAATATACTATGATCAATAAACTAGATTCTAGAAAGAGAAACAGTAGTTGCATGTAGAGTAAAGCTTGTTTCAACAATGATTTGAAAGTAATTTTGAATGTGAATTGATATTGACTAAAGAGTAGCTACAATTACGTAAGCATTGAATAGGTGCTTTACGCTAAATTAAGACGTCACAGAAGCGTGCACCTACAATGTAACATCATATGAGGTTAAAGAAAAGATCTATATATCTCATGGCAAACACAACATAGTTAAATCAAACTACAATGATCAAAACGAACAGTCAAAATAAATATCCAAACAACAACACTCATAAAATTTAAGGTCAACAAAACAAGCAATCAATTATACATAAAGAAATTCTTATAAATCATTTCTGTCTGAAATTTGTTTTTTATGATATTTTCACAGTTGAAATCATGAGTCAATTGAAGCTAGACCACCATCGAAAACCTGGAAGCACTGGACGGCCGTTTCGTCCTATTATGGGACTCCTCAGCAGTGCGCATCCACGAACCCGCTCTCGCGAGCGAGATTCGAACCCAGGACCTACCAGTCTCGAGCCGAAGCCCTTAACCGATAGACCACTGAGCTGGCATCCAACGGTGGTCTAGCTTCAATTGACTCATGATTTCAACTGTGAAAATACTAAATTCTCCACAAAACCCCCTCTGGTTTTATGATATTGTCTAGAAAGGTAATAAAAGCTACTGAATTAAACTATTCAACTCAGAGAATACAAATTCACCAGAAATATTTAACTCGCTTAATAAGAATTAAGTAGTTGTAGCACATTATTGTGGTGAGAAAAATTTCTTTTCAATTGTACCACGATCCCGCCTCGCGGGATTCGAACCCAGGATGCGCACTGCAGCGGAGTCCCATAATAGGACGAAACGGCCGTCTAGTGCTTCCAGGTTTTCCATGATGGTCTAGCTTCAATTGACTCATGATCTTACCTATATAAAGTTACACTTATAATCAATGATAATTATGAACGATAATGATAATAATGATGATTTCTAATGAAATACTGAATATTACATATTTTACTTAACCTGTATGTTTAAAAAGGTAGCATTAGATAGTAAATTATTGATTGAATTTATCAGTCATAATATTATCAACAATTTACATTCGAGGTTCTTTTCAGTATTGATTCATACGAAAACTTAACAGATCTTAATCATCAAGTTTTGTTGATGTTACACTAGTTAGATAATCATTAAAAACTAGAGAGCATCACATAACCGTTTCACACATACTAGTAATCGATTTCTCAGTAGTGTGTACATCTGACACTAGGATTTTGTGGTGAATACACTAACTACACCTTGAGACTACCACCACTATCTTGATAGGTAACGGATCATAATTTAAACACATACACAAACTTTAATTTGTTCACGATATTCCAAGATTATATTTCATTATCACCGGTAATAATTATCTCGCATTTGATATAAAATATTTTTTAACATTCATCGTCCTGTAAACTCGAATGAACTATTTGTAAAACTTTATAAATTCGATTCACATAAATTGTACTATTCATATTTTCATAATCAGTACCCTTTTACCTAACAGATACTTATTCGCTGACAGAGTATGTAAATAGTTAACAAAACAAGGAATGTCCTTACTTCAATAGGCAAAAAGTAAATATTAGTAGCCAGACGATATTCCGGTTCGCCTTTATTATTAAATCCAGAAAATCCAAAACCTGCGACTAAATTTGATAGACAACCTAATCGGGAAATAAACAAATAAGTATATTAATTATCAGAGGGGGTTTTGTGGAGATTTAGTATTTTTCATAGTTTTAAAGCATGAGTCAATTGAAGCTAGACCACCATGGAAAACCTGGAAACACTGGACGGCCGTTTCGTCCTATTAACTGGTAGGTCCTGGGTTCGAATCTCGCGCGAGCGGGTTCGTGGATGCGCACTGCTGAGGAGTCCCATAATAGGACGAAACGGCCGTCCAATGTTTCCAGGTTTTCCATGGTGGTCTAGCTTCAATTGACTCATGCTTTAAAACTATGAGAAATAAGTATATATATATATATATATACATGCATCAAGTCTAGGTAATTCACATAATGTTATTGACAAGTCGACAACTGAGTCAAACGTGAATTAGAATCAAGTAGTTGTATTCATTTATCTGAACACATAAACATTGGTACAATAGGGCACCAAACACATATGCGCCACACAATAGCAATGATGCCAGTAGTAGTTATCATAGGTTTTCGTGAGGGCTGGGATACTGTCTGGGTGCCCAAACCGAGGCAGGTGATTACACTAGGGGGCTACACTCTGGGCCTTTGACCTAATGTTCTAATTCATAAGGCAGTGTAGCAACGTTAGGGGTGCAGTCCCATGGTAGCCAGTGACCAATAATAGGTTCATACGCCATTTGTACACTCAGGATCCTGGAGCCTACGTGGCAACATTGGTTTGAAATCAGAGTTTTCTAACTCACCTAGATGGATCCTCCATACCCACCAACCCGATTAAAGCGTCAGATATTCGCTTTTCGTCCTCTTTGTATACAACACCTCCGACGCGAGAAGACAGTGAGTAGGTCTTCCCTGGCAGTGGCTGTATACGTGAGGCCATATGAGAGCATATCGAGAGGGAGGGCTGACTCTCTCTACCCCCAACTGTACAAGGGCATTCGGGAGCTGAATCAAGTAGTAATATTAGATAACAGCAGAAATACGATTGGATGCATTTAACAAAGTATATATTAGGAAGAATCATACGAAACCTACAATTTTCTACCCTAGATCTTAGATCCTGAGTAAATAGAAATTTAACTGATTCATAAATGTGTTCTAAACTATCGCATCAGTCAAGAGTTGGAGCTGTAACAACTGAATCGTACAAGCTTAAATTAATGAAAAGCATCCTTACTGATTGGCTCACTGGCTAGCACTAGCTAACGTCAAGCTTGTCTAGTAAAAGTAGAGTCCTGTCCATTAAATTGCAATAAAGCTTACAAGTATTAGCGTTGCAATATCGCGTAAACTATATTTTGATGTCAAGACAATTGGCAGGAATTTTTGACCCCAATGGTCCACGTGATTTGCCACTTTTCAACAAGACACGTTTGCAATATTAAGAGGAATGATGTTCAAAACATGGAATTCAAATGACAACTATACTTAGAGTTTAGTTATGTTGACTTCATCTAACCATTTAACATCGAAACACATATTTATCATGAGATAATAATGTATGAAGCTAAAGTGGACGTTATTGTTTGTATCGTGTTCTCTGAGTGAGACTGCTTAATTACGAAGCTTTTATAATCGTTCTGGATAAAGTTAACTACCTTTTTTCTCAATTATATGTTACACGGTCCAATTATCTGAACATTTCTTATTGCGTAATCTTATAATTTCTACGACTGTTATTTTAGTAAGCAGAGATGGATAGTGGCTAGCAGTGGAATCCAGGACGCACGTTTCGTTCTATTTGGGACTCGTCAGCTGGATGTACCTGTATCTCAGAGTTGATGTTCACTCTGGTACTCGAACCCAGTACCCTCGCTTCAAACGCCATCGCGCTATCCACTCGGCCACTGAGTCTTGATAGCCACTTGCTTTTATTTTAGTGTTTATATTTTTCTAATCATTGACCTATTTCCTATTATGTAACATTGATTCAAGTCTTTATTATTCTTATCACAACGAGTACACTTGTCATTACACTACCAATTTGTACTTTTTACTTATTATGTTTAGTTATGTAATCTATTCCACTGTTGTTATCATTGACTCATAAACTGCCTTGATTGGTTTAATAATTTCGTATATGCATATAAATATTATTGTATATTAGAGTAAAGTCTGATAAGGATCTAATCGAAAACAATATTGTTCGCTTATTTATGTTGTTCTAAAACTAACTATCATACATGTGTAATAGCAGTTCTTTCTGAAACCTTTGTTCCCAATCAATTATTTTAATAGATTTTGTTGTCTTTATTTGTCCTCTCTTTTACGGTGACTGGATTAATTGGTTGACCTCTTACATATTGGTTATAAAAAATTGGGAAGCTCACTTCTACATGGAGTAGGCACTGTTGATGTTGCTCAGAATAACAATGAGAACTCAGCAACTTAACTTTCTAGGTCAGAGAAAACAACACCAACATACCTATATAATGGATGTAGGTAAATAAAGCTTCTGAAAGACCTTTTTCTTTGGTTCAAAAGTTCATAACTGGTCAAATTGGTCGAATGTCTAAGACCCAGTACCAAAGTTACACACCCAACTCGTAAAGTAAGATATGAAAAAACCGAGACAATAATTAAGCGAAATCTACTGATCACCATGAAGTGAAAATTAATAATACTTACTAAGAGTCCAAGCAAAATAAAACTTTTGACGAAAACCAAAACAAGCGATTGATAAGTAGATAAATTTTTGAAAGTAATTCTTTTTTGCAAAATCTTCGGCTGATGTGTAAAAAGAAAAGAAAATACGTATAGAAAAACTATAAATCCCAATCATACTGTAAAACTGTCAAGACCACAAATGTGGAAAAATTCAAGGATTCCGCTGTTTCACCAAAAGCAAAATATGTCATTCAAATCTATCATCACAATTACTTGATTATACGCTTTTAGGAGCGACTATATGTGGCAGTCATGGTTCGCCTGTGCTTCTAAGGTAAATTGAATTGACGGGTGACAATTATTGAAAGTATTCAAGATTTCACTGAGGTCTATGTCTTCTTCACAAATAATGAAAGTATTATCCAAATATCTCTTATATAAATGAAATCTCTCAATTATTGGTCGAAGTACAGAATTTTCTAGATTGGCCATGAAACAATCGGCCAAGAGAGGACCCAATGGAGAGACCATTGGACCTCAATGAAGTCTTGAATATTTTCAATAATTGTCACCCGTCAATTCAATTTACCTTAGAAGCACAGGCGAACCATGAATTTTATTTCCCTGATGTCCGTTTAAAAAGAATGTCTGATGGTTTTTTACAGAAATCGATTACATAGAAAACCTACCTGGAATGGACAATACACGAATTTCCATAGTTGGGTCCCATTGAGTCGAAAGAGGAAATTAATTCACTCCTTATGCTCTAGGATCAAGCGAATCTGTTTCAATGACAAAATAGATGAAGAACTATTTCATCTTCGACAGACCCTCATCAGAAATGGCTATCCATCTAGGTTAATCGATAGCAACTTAATACTTAGACTTCATCAGGAAAAAGCCTAGACAGTACAGAAGAAAACTTTGTTTATGAATATGGAATTTAAAGGAGATACGGCTGCCGAAATCCTAAATAAACGGATTTCAAAATCGTTGAATAAAACATTCTACACAGCTAAGCTTCGAATTGTTTTCTCTAACCGGCCTACCATTCTGGGGCCTGTTAAGAATAAACTTCCGCTTTGGGCCGCATCAATGTGTATATATAAATTTACTTGCTCATGTGGGGCACGTTACATAGGCCGCACAAAGCGATCACTTTCCAAACGCATCTCGGAACACTATCCGGCTTGGCTCTTAAAAGGAGAATGTAAAAAAATTACTAGTTCGATACAAGAGCATTTAATTAACTGTGGACATATCGCTCCAAAAGACTTCTTTTAAATTAATCTACAGAGTCAAAGGAACCGGATTGAAAGGGGATCGAGTCAATATTTTATGCACTGCTGAGGCATTGGCAATCCACGAACACGAGCCTGAACTTTACGTGCAGAGACGATTTGTCCAACCTCTCACCCAATCTTTGCCTTAATTACCTTAATGGATAGTGTAGTGAATGAGGCTCAGTTGAGGACAACCGATTGAATTTTAATTAAAAAAATTACAGAGTTCTTTGGTAGAATGTGCAAACTATACATTAAATACATCATTTTATTTTACAAAATTTGTTATTTCGGTTATGCTTAAAAGAATCTTTAATCAAGTTTCTCAATAATTACACAAATTCAACCCTGATATTAGTATGAGCAGGAATAGTATCATCAATAGAATTCATCATTTCACTTCAGATGGTGCAACACAGTGGCTAGAGACGTTATCAGATATGGCTCAGACTAGAAGCCAGTGGCGATCCTGCTGCAACCTTCTTTTACTTTCTACATAAAGAATGGTTCTCACTTTCTTAACTGAAAGAGTCTTCTGGTTGTACAATTCAGTCCGCCTTATCTTTTCATCCCTTCTCTTCCTACTTTCATTATTTTGTGTGGCGCATATGTACCTGGTGCCCTTTTGTACCAATATATATGTGTTTAAATAAATAAATAACCCTGATATGTAAATACTGACAGCCTTGTGTGAACCGCTGAGGATTAAGATAGAGCCTCATGGATTTTGCACAAACGTGATGGTATGGTGAACCTGTAAATATCAAACAATTCTTGTATTCGTAGCAAATAAATAGTTAATTAGTTTAGTAAAATTAAGTGTACAGATGGCAGAAAAGTGAATCCATTTTTGTCTATAAATAATAACACGATATTAATGTATCTGCTGTCTACATACATACATAAACTGCCCAAGAAATAGATTACCCCAGGAATACCTAATGTAATGTGTGCAATGACATACTATATATATATATATATATATATATATATATATATATATATATATATATCAGTTTAATTTTGAATAAGGAGCTGGGAGAGTCTAGGCATACGAAGTGCCTGTGATCACAGACAATAAGATCAAACGGTGGGTGAGAAATTATACCAGAGAGACGCTATTGGAGGAAGTTGATTATATTCTAAGTCAACGTCCCACATCAGCTTACATATCTTTGTTATAGGTCAGAAGAACAAACGTATAAATATCAATGATTTGTGTGCTTATTTATTTGGTTTCGCCAATTACATATTTTTAATCAATTCCTTAGTCTTCTCACTTGTACGGGTGATTGGTGGAGCGGGCATCTTAATCAGACGTTGTAAGATATAAGACAGAATGCAAAAACGTTATAACGGAGGTTAAGATCTTATCGTTAGTGACATCAGGAAACAATATTTATAACTAATGTAACAAAAGCATGGTAAGCAGAGATGGATAGTGGCTAGCAGTGGAATCCAGGACGCGCGTTTCGTCCTATTTGGGACTCGTCATCCATCTCTGCTTACCATGCTTGTGAATTAAGGTATATCGAGGCAATACGCACAGTATGCACATATGCCAATTAGAGACTGACCAGTTGCAGTCCTAAACACATCGATGGGAAGATCCAAACAAACAATACTAAGTGAATTCAAACTTCACCCCATCGCACAAGCAAGTGGCTATCAGGACTCAGTGGCCGAGTGGATAACGCGATGGCGTTTGAAGCGAGGGTACTGGGTTCGAGTCCCAGAGTGAACATCAACTCTGAGATGCAGGTACATCCAGCTGACGAGTCCCAAATAGGACGAAACGTGCGTCCTGGATTCCACTGCTAGCCACTATCCATCTCTGCTTACCATGCTTGTGAATTAAGGTATATCGAGGCAATACGCACAGTATGCACATATGCCAATTAGAGACTGACCAGTTGCAGTCCTAAACACATCGATGGGAAGATCCAAACAAACAATACTAAGTGAATTCTAATGTAACAAAATTTATATATATATATAAAGTAGCAAATGGCTTACACAAAAATGCCTCTGGTTTAAAACTATTAAAGGACCATAAGAGTAATATACCATGAAGTAGTAGAAGTTTCATCTGTTTCCATTTCTCTGCCTATAGAAAAATAGGAACGAAAGGAAAATTTGTTTTTAATTGGGGAGAAAGAATGTAAATTTCCATATATTGGACACTGAATAAATCGCATAATACACTTAATAATTACACAGACCATGAACTTAACACGATAATTTCGGTCATATATGATTTTTAGGAAAAGAGCTATTATAACAACCACCACTAGCCATTCAGTCATTATCAACGTAGAGCCTATCACAAAGGTCCGTTGGCCAATGTTGCCATATCACATTATCAAGACCAGTGGGAAAAAGGTCGAAATAAGGTAGTGGTAATGATAGGAAAAAAGACTAAACATTGGTAATATGGTCTGAAAAGAGAGTGGAAATGTAAGTATGAAGGAATACTAGAATTCATGATTGAGAGGATGAATATATTTTGCATCAATGTGAATGTTTCCGAGCTATGCCATTCAAAGTTCCCAACCACTGGCTTTGTCCAACTGCTAATGACTTTATGGATTGGTTTCATGTCTTGGTTGGGACACCCTACCCCTCTTCAAACTCTTTAGCCAAAATAGCACGACTAGGTAATCGGTGGTTAGGTATACGCAACATGTCTGAGTCCACCTCAAATGATGAAGACTTCCAATCTCACCAACCGACTACCCACCTACGTCTAGTACCCTATACTCAACCTCAATGTTTCTCACTTAGTCGTTACACGATAGATAAGTAATGCATTGAAGATAAATATGACCAAAAACATCCAACCTACACGTCTTCTACTTTCACAGACACAGAATAGTAGAGAGTGCAATGTTGCTCAATATACTCGGGCTTCAGTCATAAATAACATACCATACACAGTGGTTTGCTGGAATGAAATTCGTAAAATACGTCGAAGCCACCGAAGCAAGTATTTCAAGATGGTGACACCAACTGGATGATCATCACTGTCTTCGAACACAAGTTTCTGAACTTTTGCACACTGATGCAGACCGTACAACAAATAGATTTGGTTGTCTTTGGAAAGTCTGGAAATCGATGTGCGCTGTATATTGTCAAGTTAGACACCATTATTATGGCAAACGTAATTTCTATTACGTTCTTTAGAATGTCTGGTGTACCCAATGGATACTCGGTATGACTTTTAAGAGAATGTAAAATACATAATAGCTCAATACAGGAGCACGTCATCAACTTTGGCTATGTTGCCCCAAAGAAATCTTCCTTCAAAATAATCTACATAATAGAAAGAATGAGATCAAATGGAGGTTGGGTCAAGAAATTATGTACTGTTGAGGCACTGGCAATTCACCTATTGAAGCCTGAACTCCATTTAAATGCAACATGTCTAACCATTTATACTTCTATCACCTTAATGTCATTTTCCAGTATGCTTTAGTATTGCTTAAATTTTAATTACTATTTTGTGCCTTTCATAAACCGCAATCAGTTATTACTATCCTCTAACAAATTTCCATGGTTATTACCCAACTGTTATTGCGACATTTACATTTTGGTTTTTTGTCACATCTGTCAAGTGGGCAGCTATTTTTTATAGTTCAAACCAGTAAATTATTTTCACTTTGCTTTTGGATGTAATCTCTTTTTATCTTTCTATAGACACGAATGTACAGTTTGAGTAAATGATTCCTTTGAAAAGAGAATTCTCTTTACTGAATTTTCGTTATTTTTATTTAATGACACAATGATTGCTTTCATTTTCTTATAACTTAATCCATTATACGGTAGATATGCTGAAACAATTAGGACTGTATATAAAGCAGATAAATGTTTACAATCTATTTCACTATTAATAGCAGTCCCGTACCACATAGACCTTTTTTATGATAGCTTGATTATAATGAAACAGTAATAGCTGGAACATTTCGCATATACTTACTTTAGCGTAAAGTATCGCCTCCTTGTTGTCCTCCTAAATTTAAAAATACATACCCAGTGTTACAAATAAAATAGCATAACAAAACGTTAGGACAATTATAGTTAGCAAGCTTAATCCTAAAAACCTTTCAGAATTTGAGAATCTCTAGGCAACGCACTCAATATTTTACGGATTGTACATGAAATATATATGATAGGAGACTAATAACCTTACACATGATCATACTTTATAACCGTTAACTTGCTTAATGATATTTATCATTTCAATAGTAAACAATCAACATAATGAATAAACGTTGGAACACACTTTACTTTTTATTTCTACACTAAAACTTACTGAAATGATTGATTGTAGGAATAATGAATAAGTGATATACACGACAAACTCCCTGAGATGGAAAGCATTGACTACTAACATAACCTAATCGACCTACATTGCTTGGAACACTAAGCCGGTGATATTTAACCATCTGCTACGTTAGCATAAATATTAAGCAAAGTTGAACTTTCTAAAACGGTCCTATATGAAGTTATGGTTTTTAATTTTGTTATATGAATATTAAATACTTAAACACGTATTTTTTATTCCCCTACTTGTAAACTTCTGTTTGGCATGCAAACTATTATTGCGTGTCTTACATTCTCCAATTTATTGCTAACTTGTTAAGGAACTAGCACTCAATCCTCTTTCATTTATGGAGCAGTTATGCCAATATTACAATTTTCGATTTAGTTGGTATGTGGTCGGGATTTCGTTTTATATTATTGTGTGAATGATTCATAAGTTTGAACTGTACAATTACAAGCTGTCTACTCGCTGTATTGTGTCCTAATCTGGCCATCGGAGAGTGTAGGAAACTGTATTTTTGATCAATAAGTCATTTAGCGTTACTCTTGGCTCTTATCTCGCATTTATCGTATCATTAGTTAGCCGAAAGTCTATGGTACTAGATAGTTTCAGCGAGCTAACTAGTACTTGGATTATATCAATACAACTACTCGCCTGTCCTACGGTCCGATCTCACGAGCCTCAAATAAACTAAACAATAAAATCTGTTTATTTTCTCAGACATCACTATCCCAAGCAAATCAGTTGAATAGCAAGCAGCTAATTTGAGGAACGAGTGCTGCAGTATACTGTCATTCCCATTGCGGAATGAAAGTAATGAGATGTTCCCCACGAATAACTGGGAAATCTAGCAACGTTTCCTTTCTTAAATTTAAAAGAGAGGGGATAGAAAACATGGACACTAAAAAACACCATGTTTCTCCAAAGGATTTTCAGTCTAGGAAGTACGAAGTTGGTGTATCAGAAACTACTCACAAAACGTCGTGAGCCAAATGACCTCAAACAGCCATCCCTTAGGGACTACAGAAATGCACCCAGGTGGACCCAACATCTACTACTACTCCGATTTCATTGCAGATCCTTAGAGAACCATCCTACTTCTGACCTCAGCAGCACTCTAATTCACACAATTGCTATTTCTTAAAAGTGTAAACTAATTATTCCGGGAATACCAATATTTACGTCCTAAACTAGATTATTGACAGTAGTATAAAAATTTATTCTCTGACAGCAATACTAAGTATGGAGTTTGCTATGGATTACTATGTGACCAAAATGTATCGGGGAATTACAATGAAGGCACAAAAGCGAAACAGTAACTAACGGTTAGTGGAGAATATTTTATTTGACATTTAGAGTAAGACGTTAGGGAAATTTCTGATTACCAATAAATATAGTAAGTACCTTTACTGTAGGCGTTAAATATATACTGTCACGGTGAGTACTAAATTTTAAAGAACTTAAAAAGTGCATATCGATTTTAGCTATTGAGATTTCCAATTATTAAATGAAAAGGCGACTACGCTTTGCAGAACTTACAAATCGCTTTTTATCAGTTTCATTGAGGAGCTGTTCTGATTCTTGACCCTGAATAAATCTCATATAATCAGCAAAAAAACTGAAGGGACCAATCATTACGTTATGAAATGAGAATAAGTATCCACCCAGCTGGAGAAGACGAGGTCGGCGTCTTAAGGAAATAAACAGAAAACCGTCAAAACATTGAATTTTCTGAATGATTACAGAATTATTTTTATCATAAACCCTTACTACATGGTTACAAGCTGAATTAACATGTAATTAATGCGTTAAAATTAACGTACTATGCCACACATGTGGATATTGGTACGCTTAATTACAGAAGGTCCAGTATATCAAATCTATGTTGTTTCCAACGGTTTACGGAAACTACGAAAAGGCGAAGATAAATAAATAAATATATAAATATAAACGTGACTTATTTCACTTGTCAAATTCTTTAAAAAAAGTGATGACAGTATAGATTATTATTTTTGAACTTGATTTTTCTAAGTGTATAACGAAAACCGAATAGTAACTATCGTACATAGTATTTATATACGCTTTAGGATGCAATGACTACTTATATTTTCAACAACAACAAAATCTATTACGTTCAGTGAAGCGGTAAAGTACACACGAGTTTCTCGCAAATTAACTGTGTTTGGACGTTTGCTGCAACTACGCTAAGGCTTGTGAGACTTCGGTTCAAAAAAAACTAAACACCCGATAAAAATCCACGACTCAGTACAAGGATGTACAAAGTTAGTGAGTCAAAATTGCACGTTCTATGCTAAATAATATAATAAAGATACTGGAGGGGTCTGAAGTCCTAACCATGGGTTTTCGTGAGCTTTATTATGTCTCTAGACTTTACAGTCAAATTATGGGCAATATATATTCGGTCTGTGTCTAAAAATATACTAAGAAAAATACTCAACAACTTGATACCGAAATGTTACTGAAGTTTCGTCATGGAAATTATGCTGATATTTGGACTTTTATCAACCAAGTGGACAGAAGGACCAGGAAATCAGATGATTTTCTTGGTGAATAATCAGAAATGTATAAACACAAAATTACGGACATTTTATCTGCAACCTACATCAAGACCAATTTAATAATAGACTCACTCAACGGCATGAAGCTTGTGGTAGTCTTGGTCAACTGTTCCTTTTTTTGACAACTTTACTCCATCACCGATGTTAAAAGCCAAAGAAGATAGCTTTTGAGTTTGCACCATCAAAGCCCTGGAAACAATCTATCGAAAAATAGAGACATACGCAGAGATATCGAGCCGGGGATTATACATACATCTATGAATATGTACTGAAGATAAATATGCCATTGAAAAGATTAAAATGCCATACTGAGCAACAGATGATGGAAGAAAAACCATCATCAAGTATGCCGGTATGGCTTGAGCAAACATATGAATAACTAGACTAAAAGGATGAAATTAGTAGAAGGATATTACGGTCCGTAAACAAGATACAACATCAAAAATCCGCTGACAAACTCAAAAAGGTGACGGCGTTTGGAATTTTCTGCACATGGCGGTATGCATTTTCGCATTACACAGCCTGCAAGTAGCGTGAAAAGTTGACATATCACGAATGCCCACTGAATTTCTTATAGTCATATTATGAAAAAATTACCTGTTCCGCATCGATGACAGAAAGGTATCGCGAAACACCCATGAAAACAGGGAAACACTAAAGACATAGAGCGCGGGTAAAGCACACACAGACTGTACGCCTTTTAGTTTAACTAAACGCATTCAAATGGCAACATTTAGGAAGACAAATGTTCAAATGGTCAAAATGGTTCTGGACCGAATAAGCGAAGCTTTCGCTTAACGAGATTTCGTATCTATTAGTAAGGGCCGATAGAATACAAAAGCGTAAAGGAGGGGGAGTAGCTCTATTCATTAGGAATGCTATTCCATTCACCATTATCGACAGTGCATCCCATAAGAGTGGGACGTATGAATTAGTTAGTTGCCATCTGAAATGCAAGGGACAAGAGCTGCTGCTTGGTTTGATCTACCGCAGATTTATACTTAAACGTTACCGCCCCCACATCCCTTGGACTACACCTAGGGGGCCGGGAAACTCCCCATCATGGTTCAGTAGGGAGGTTCGCGTCATTCTCCGTAAAAGAAGGAAAATGCGGGATAGATTTAAGCTAATTTGAACTAATGAGGCAAAATATCAGTATCGAAAAGCTCGGGATACCTGTGCCTCGACCCTCCGTAAGTCCAGAAAGCTGTACGAAGAGAAAATCGTTAAGGAATCCATAGAATGCCATAAACGTTTGTATTCGTATATAAAGCAAAGGACAAAAAGGGGAAGAAATGTTCCTTCACTATGGGGAGACAGTACTGCCTCATCACTAATGGAGGACGACTTTGGCAAAGCTCAAGTATTCTCTAAATACTTTAGCAATGTATATACCATAGATACACCCTTCTCACCAGTCCATGAAAATCCCCCCACACAAACAATGAACAGCGTGACCATTGAAGAACTCGATGTCTTTGGTCTGCTAATTAAGCTTGACATAGGTAAATCCACTGGACCCGATGAACTGCATTCTAGGTTACTAAACGAATTAGCTAACTTTGTTGCGAACCCTTTAAGTGTATGCTTTAATCTATCCGTAACCCAGGGTCGTCTACCAAAAGACTGGAAGAACGCCATATTAAATCCTGTCTTCAAAACAGGTACAAAACATAAGCCTGAGAATTACCGACCCATTAGCATAACTAATGTGGTTGTTAAAATCTTAGAAAAGATTATTCGGAAGGAACTGTTAAAGTATCTCGATGAAAACCGGATCCTCTCCGAAAAGCAGCATGGTTTTAGAACAGGTTACTCTTGTCTCACAAACTTATTAGTCGCTCGTGAAAGCTGGTGCGCTCTTAAGGACCAAAAGTTACTTGCTGACGCAGCTTACATCGATTTCAGCAAAGCTTTCGACAAAGTTCCGCACAACCGGCTGTTATATAAGCTAAGGAATGTCGGGATTGGAGGCAATTTATTGAGGTGGATAAAAGACTTCCTAGTTGGGCGTCAACAAAGAGTAAGGGTGAACACCAAGTTATCTAACTGGGAAACTGTGCTTAGTGGAGTCCCCCAGGGTACAGTTTTGGAGCCAGTGTTATTCCTCTTGTACGTAAATGACCTCCCTCGTCTGCTATCGTCATCGGTCTTGCTCTATGCTGACGATGTCAAGATATGGAGAGCGATACAAAGCGAGGGCGATAGCTTAGAACTTCAAAACGACCTGGAGAGGTTATCTGAATGGTCCCAAACCTGGTAATTGCCGATAAACACTTCCAAATGTATTGTGATGCATATTGGCCACCAAGGTACAGATACATACACGATGGATAACACTGAGTTACCTATTGTCCAGGCACACAATGACTTAGGCGTCATTGTTAATCAACACTTAAAGACTACTGCACACTGCCTTGCAATAGCCACCAAAGGTTTTAGGACTTTATGGTCCATACGCAGGGCTTTTAGGCATCTTGACGCTAAAACGTTTCCGTCTTTGTATACAGTGTTCGTGCGCCCTAAACTTGAGTACTGTATACAAGCAGCTAACCCCTGCCTAAAAAAGACAGTGAACTCTTGGAAAGGGTTCAGAGAACAGCAACTAGGCTGATTCCCGGAATAGCGAAGCTCCCGTATGGTACTAGACTGACCAAGCTAAACCTATTCCCGCTGTCATATAGAAGAATCAGAGGTGACTTGATTATAGTTTTCAAATTGCTAAATGACAAATTTGCACCTGATATGCCCTCATTTTTCTTGTGTTCCAAAACAGAAAATCTACGAGGACACTCCAAAAAAGTTCACAAGCCCAGAACGAATTACTTGTCAGCTGACTACCGACTTTCCCATCGAATAATCAACGAGTGGAATTCATTACCTCAGCACGTGGTTGAGGCTCCATCCGTCGACTTCTTCAAAAGAAAGTTAGATCAGCTGAGAGACCATCATTGCCAAGACTAACAGGCCATCAAGCCTCCTTTCCTTTCCAAACTGAAACTGATCTAGTAGTAATAGACCTCCGATGCCTCCAGGTACGAACTTAGGTATATTTAACGATAAAAAAGGAAAAAGAAAAAGAAAAAAAAAAAAGAAACTTCTAAGTGTTTATGAATATGTCACGTTTTTGCATTAAAAGACTCCTGAAAATTCGCTTGAGATAGCCCGGCCGGCAGCGAAATCTGGAATTTCACTACTCTTAAGGATTCGAAGGCGTGCCTACTCTCCGTCTTGTTTCTGGGTGTTATTCCCGAGGTTTTTATTGAAAATAAGTCTAAGTAGATGTTCAAGAGGATGCACAGAAATGTACAGGACGCTGAAAGTCATTAGAAAGTCATCTCTTAGAATACTTTGTTCTAAAGGGTAAAGGTTCAGTGATTAAAGGCGCTCTCCATAAAACTTGAATCTGAGTCCCCGTATTGGTTTCGTGGCTCACCGTTGAATATGTCCTAATATTTCCTTCTCCTTTTGGAGTGAGGGGGAAACACTTTATTTCCATACTCTGCATAGGGTCGAATGCAACTGTTGAAGACAAAGTGGAAGATTCTTCCGTCGAACTGGCCCAAACTGCGCTTCAAAGTTACCAGTACATGGTTTGCTCGAAAGGCATTTTTGTCACAGTTGGCATAAGCCTTCTGATCACAAAATACTAACACTCCTAGGTATTTTCAACTTGGGATACCTCTAGAGGAAAGTTATCTAAGTTGTATTCTTAGTCTGCTACATTTCTAAGATGGACTACCTTACACTTCGAAGTGTCACAGGTAAGTCCTCCTGTTATCAGCTCAACCTTCCCTGCAACCATGCTGCTAGAGTGAAAAAAAGTATATAGATAGTAAGTAGTCATGTAGACCGTCGCATATCAGGAACTTAGTAAACGCCATACCACTCCGAAAAACGGTAGCTCGTCGCATACTGCTATTAGTCTTAAGAACAAGACTGGACATAAAGTAGATGCAACCATTCATCCTAAGCCCGAACACTCAGCTATCCCAAAATGCAAATCAATTTATGTCTCAATTGTGCCCCAGCATTGCCCTAGAGGCTCCGATAAAATGTCCGAAAATAATACTCCCAGGAGTTGCCCTTATTGCTACTGCCACTCAGACACCGCAATGCAAAGTAACTCTTTGTAGAAATTTAGCAGCATTAAACCACAACGTGCACCTTTTAACAGCAGTAGATTGCCCCACAACAAACATAGTGAACTGGCAGTACCCACTCATCCTAACGTGAGGCTACACCCGAAACAAACCACACCTAAATGTGATACCAGTAAGCCACAGTGTCAACCTTGTAAACTCCAGGAACCAGTACACAATCACACACAACAGGAGTCTCTCTCTTGGCAACAATATCGGTCAATTCCTAGTTCCTTACAACTTGCCCATCTACACATAATAGGACTAAAATTATTTAGAAAATCCTGATCTCAAAATTATAAAGAACACTAAAACGTAATTGACTACATGTCATCTGAAGTGTTGAAAAGGCTACAGTGTATGCAGAATGTCATTGTTTATAGAATACATGATAGTGCGGATATAAAGTTTACTAAGAACACTCTACTAAAAGAAATCAGCCTACAAAGTAGGGGCAGGTACAAAGTCGGTTATTGCACAAACCTTAAAACTCCATATTATCAAGAAACGGCGACTCCATGGATTATAATCACGTTCACAGTTATCCCTTGCTGACATAACTGTAGAACCAATCATGAGGCTGTTCCCCTTCAGTTTCAGTTTCGAAAACAGAGGACGCTAAATGACCTATGTTAGTCCTGTGAATGCAAGTCTCCTTGTTCATTCAACTTTATATTGAAAGCGTCGTCAGATGAAGCCTTAATCACCTATTGAGTTAATGGATTCCATTTGTTGATGGTTAGATGGGAAAGTCGATAGTCAGGTGGCAAGTAATTTGTTCTGCACCTGTGAACTTTATGGAGTGTCCTCTTAAATTCTCTGTTTTTGATGATAAGGAAAATGAGGGCATATCAGGTGCAAATTTATCACTAAGCAATTTGAAAACTGTAATCAAGTCACCTCTATTTCTTCGATATGACAACGAGAATAGGTTTAGTCTATCCAGTTGAGCATCATAAAGGAGCTTCGCTATTCCGGGAATCAGCTTAGCTGCTGTTCTCTGAACCTTTTCCGAAAGCTCACTGTCTTCCTTTTGACAAGGGCTAGCCGCTTGTATTCAGGACTGGAGTTTAGGACGCACGAATACTGTATACAAAGTCAAAAAATGTCCTAACGTTGTAGCTGTAAATAATCCCCCAAAATCAGTAGCTCTGTAAGTATTCGACATTGGATACTGACCACATTACTTTTGGTGGACTCGTTTAGCTGAAGGCACTCGGTCATGCATCCGTATCAGATCACGTTACAGAACGGTGTGGGAAGCATCTGCAATCATTAGCCAGATTAGATCAGTCACTTCTCGATATATTGATAACCCATCAAATATATCTTCCAACCGCCTCGCTTCTGACTTCTGATTTTAACTGGGTGGGCGCGATTCAATTATAGGTGTTACTAGAAAAGAGTTGTCAAACTACAGTTCTGGTTGTATCTTCGGCGTCGACACTGCTAAAGGCTCTACATATTGACCGTAGAGTTCCTAAACCTTTGATTGCTAACGCACGGCAGGGTGCAGTAGTTTCTAGGTCTAACGATGAATCCGTGGTCA